GCAAAATTTCCTTCGGTACCATTTTCAGTGGAATTCCAAATTGCCCCGTACGGACTCTAGTATATAAGCTACCTATTTTATTTAATGTTGATTTATTAATGAAATATTTGCAATCATCAGTCAAATCAATCTCTTATCGGATTACTCCGGTGTTAACGTGAGTATAGAAATATGTCCATCTCTTTGTCTTTCGAACGGCTGTTAAATCCAGTAGGTAGGTTCCGGAATGTATAAATTTGCAGCCATGTTCGGCTAGAATATGGCCGTCAAATCAGACGACCCGTGAAGAGAGAGTGCAATTTGTAGGCGACCTGTTGCAAGGCAAACTTTTTCCCTCTATCCAACATGGCTTTGTTTTGCAGTGGCTGCCCAATTTCTATGTCTCACCTTCGATAGTAGAGGGGCATTATGTTGTTCGGTCTGTGTGTCCGTTCGTTCGTCCGTCCGTCTATCCTGCTTCAGTGTAAAGTTTTTAGTCAATGTAGTTTTTGATGAAGTTGAAGTCCAATCAACTTGAAACTTAGTACACATGTTCCCTTCGATATGATCTTTCTTATTTTAATGCCAAAATTAAAATTTTGACCCCCATTTCACGGTCCACTGTACATAGAAAATAGCTAGTGGGGCATCTGTGTACTATGGACACAACCCCAAAGGGTGACTGGGGAATAGAAGTATGGTCACCATTGGTCTTCCTCCGACCGGCAGAAAAACCCTTGCTTAAGTGGGGCGTCCGTTTGGCTGTGAGGGATGTACAAATTTGCAGCCACGTCCGGTTAGAATAGGGACGTTAAATCCGATACCTCGTGTAAAGAGAGTGCCACGCTCTTTGCACGTTAAGAACCCTTGCAACAACTCTTTTGAGGGGTCCGTAGGTGATCTGTTGCAAGGCTAAATTTCTGTCCCTATCCAATATACCCTTATTTCCCGTGGCAGTCTAAATTTCTCCGACCTTAATCCGGAAGCCCCTGTTACAGAACCTACCTATTGTATTTATTGTTAATTTGTTCTCGTCCTGAATATGCATGAAATATTTGCCACTGGACGTTAAGCAACCAACAATCAATCAATCAATCAATACTATGGACACATTCTTGTTTTGTATATAATTACGATAGACACATATTTTTCATACCCTTCCTATTATATTCATTGTTAATTTGTTCTCGGCATAAACGTTGGTGTTATAGTTTTTAATAAACGTTTAGTATACAACAATCAATCAATTTTTCTCGTTGACCAAAACTAGTCACATGAAGATTGATCACATATATTAGATCTACAAATAATCCAAAAAGGCCGAAATTGTCAAGTTGACTTCTTTGATCAGATATTGGCCATACATAAAGAGTTCACCAAGTTTGGTTGTTTTTGTTACAATTTAAAAAACTAAAATAAATTACTTAAAGGGAAAATTCGCGATTTTTTACTTACAGTTTAAATATGTTCATAATAACACAAAATATATATTCACAAAGTTTTATCGCTATATGTGCAGTAATAAAGAAGAAAATCAATAAATAATAAAAAAAAATATTAACTACTTCCTAACGTTTTCTCCTGGTATTGCATGTCGGGATTTAAAGTACGATCATTTATAGTCTTGGTCTTTAATCACATTTTAACGTAATCATTAGCGAAACGATGACTAATTTGATAGCTAATTACCATCCGATAGTAAGACTAAAAAATGAACAGACATGCAACGTTTTACATTCATGAGATAAAATTTGCTACATTTACCGTATACATTTCGATTCATTTTTGTTTACAGCACAAAAAGTCAATCTTTTTTTTTTAATATTTGTTTTTTCCGATGGATATGATGAACAAATTAATTTAAACTGTAAAGACAAAGGTGTACTCTTATTGACCTTTTACTATCCACCGGTACGCTAGGACTAAGTATATACGAAGTGTGTATTATTCTCTGGAAATACTCGTGGAAGGCCTGTATAATGGTATAAGGTAATTTATAGATCGGCAATTTGCAAGGCCTCTAGGGTACACCGTGCCAAGTGTGACTGTCAATTCGAATGGATTATAAGACAGAAGGTCGAGTTGAATACACAAAGTTAGAATAAATATTAAAAGGTGGTGGCAAATACAAATAGATCGTCGTGGAATATTAAGTTATATTTAGGACCTGGGTTAGGCACGTTGTTAACCGAATCATTATTTTTAATATGTATGTCATTTTTAGTGGGACGAATAAATCCGATGTTATAAAAATTCTGAATAATATTCAAATTTATAAATCTAAAGGAGAAGTTATCAAAAAAAAAAATTTTTTTTTTTATTTGATTAGTTTTAAAACGAAGAAATAATCTTGGGAAAACTAAAAATCAAGTGTTAAAATAAGAGTATATTATTTACTGATCAAACGAGAAAAAAAAGGTGTATCCGAAGCGCTTTTGGTTTACCTCACCCGGTTACAAAATGTATAGAAACACTCTAAATCTAAATATTTGAAATCTTGGTAGGTACAGTATCGGAATCCATCTAAAGTCAACATTGCTTATGTAGAATGGAACCAAAAAAATACATAGTTCGGCTGAAACGTGTTACTCATTATAGTATTTGATGCAAGAAAACGTTTGGCATTTGTTTAAATCAGACTGGAAGAATCAAATATTTTCCATGTGCTTTATATTTTGTACCTTTGCATGACTTGTCAATCATATTCTTCAGTAGGGCACATCATTCCTACTCTAAACAAACAAGAATACTACTTAATACCAGACAAGCAGTAGTATTTTAAAATTTCTATGATTTTATACCAGTTTAAATAAAAACCACCGAAATTAATTTGATACTCAATATGTTTCCTTGGAAATAAACATATTCTCATTCGGTATTAAAATAAAATATGAAATTGATATACAGAAGTGTTTTTATATCATAGAAAGTATTGGACGCCATTATAAACATGAACCTGTATATGTAAGACCTCATGGGACGACACCCTACCATTTACAGGTAATATACATGTTGCTCTGTAATACCCGGAAATGTCAAGGTAAATCACTACCTTGACAGAATGTACCATAACAAAGAAATTCGGAAAGCATGACCATTCATGATTTAAGAGGGGTCCAAGGAGGGGGGGATGATTTAAATTCTGACTAAATTGTTTTTCTCAACTTATATCACTAAACAAAAACAATTAATACATCATCTAGGAACACATTTCTTTTTGTAAATTTCTTAAAATACTCCTTACCCCCAAGGGTGACTGGGGAATAGAAGTATGGTCACCATTGGTCTTCCTCCGACCGGCAGTAAAACCCGTGCTAAAGTGGGGCGTCCGTTTGGCTGTGCGGGATGTACAAATTTGCAGCCACGTCCGGTCAGAATGGGGACGTTAAATCCGATGCCTCGTGTAAAGAGAGTGCCACGCTCTTTGCACGTTAAGAACCCTTGCAACAACTCTTTGAGGGGTCCGTAGGTGACCTGTTGTAAGGCTAAATTTCTGTCCCTATCCAATATACCCTCATTTCCCGTGGTAGTCTAAATTCCTCCGACCTTAATCCCGGACGCCCCTATTACAGAACCTACCTATTGTGTTTATTGTGAACTTGTTCTCGTCCTGAATATGCATGAAATATTTGCCACTGGACGTTAAGCAACCAACAATCAATCAATAAAATACTCCTTAATATCGGCTACAGTACTTAGTGGACAAGCAGTATTTTTAAATTGATTTAATACTTAGTAAAAAACACCGAAATTAATTTGATAGTCAATATGTTTCCATCAAAAATTACATATCCTCATTCGGTCTGAAAATAAGGTATGAATTTGGTTATTAAACCTTAATATCATGAATACCCAGTAAACAATCCAACGTTGACATTACGTTGTGACAACGTAACACTATCGTTGTGACAACGTAGTAAAATTACGTTGGTACAACGTAATTTTGTGGACTCCAAGGCACGTGCTGACAACCATCCACACAACGTTGGTACAACGTAATTTGTGACGTAATTTATTACCATCATAAGACGTTGTCACAACGTCGCAACACAACTGTAAATGTCCCTTGTCCTCATTTGATTGATAGGAGCAATAAAATTCCATTGAAGAAGTAAACAAGGTCTATATTTTATTCTTTTGACCTGTTTATTAAGTTGTAAATTTGTCTATGTAGGAAAGATGGGCACAATGTCGATATGTACTCTTATTTCCAAACTGCCAGCTGTGTATAATATAGTCACAAAAGTTGTTTTTTTACCTTTTTGCCAGGTTTCAATGTCAAATGTGTAAATATTTCGTTTTCCCAAAAACTTTGCATTATGTTTTACATTAAACCTGTAGTTTTGTCCAATTCATGTTTCACACAGTTGTTTAAGGTTAAAGTCTTAGTTTTTAACTTTTGCAATACTGAAGTACAAGATTTACACATTTCCATTTAACAAAAGCAACTTTTCTTTAAAAAAATTAACACATATTACTATTCGAAAAAGGAGATTTTGTATGATGGCCAACGAGACAACCCTCTATCCTACAATCAAATATTGATGATGTTAGCAATTATAGGTAACTGTACAGCCTTCAACATGACATCTTGGTACATGCTGCAACTTCTGAATGTTTAGGGTTTCAGTGTTCTAGAATATAGAATCACTATGATGGTGGAAATTCTAGAATGTAGATTTCACTTTAACGAAGGAAAACATTTTCTAATGAATTATTCAGAAATACAACAAACTACCACATATACCTTAATATTTACTGTAGATTCATTCAGCTGGATTCACTACACAATGACAAGCTAGGAAAAAAGTTTGGAAAAAGGCCCAAAAGCTGACTTTCTAATTTACAAATATATATTCTACACAACTTATACACTTCTAAAAATATCCCAAATGAAGAAAATACCTGAAATACAATCAAACTAACTATTGCTTTTTTCCATTGACCAACTAGAGATAGACCTATCCAAAAGCTAAGACTTCTTTTTTTTTGGCTTCATGAACCAATAAAAAAAAAAAATAATATGTTTCTGAATTTTTTTTATTTTTATTCCAAATTTTAGTCTTGTGTTGGTTGTATACATGTCATTCCAATTTTTGGTTTTCTGCCCTCTGATCAGCTGGTCTTGTGTTGGTTTCAGGTCTCTGAAAAAAAATAATCATAAATTATAAAATACAAAAAAAAAACTGATCCCAACTTATGAATTACAGCAGTTCTTAAAAAATATCCTGTGTGTAAACATAATTAATATTTTTTCTATTGCTGGTCGTATAATAAATCTTGCAGATTCATAATTATGTTGTGCTGTTACTGAGTCAGAGATGTTTGTATCTTTGCCAATTATACACATTTTGATAATGTATGTTAGAAATTTTAAAATAATTTCAACAGTATATAATAATTTATAACTTTTGGTTAACCTTTGTTCTTATTTAAAAAATAAATTTGTTGTTAAATTGAACATGTGTTAATGAAATTATGGCTGTTCCAGAAAATACTATGTCCGCCCCCCAGGGACGGCCATTTTTAACCCCCAGCACCGACAGAATTAATAAACTGCTTCGCTGTGCGAAGCTGGATACGCCCGCAAAGGTCCAACCCTGAACAGTTGGGGCAAAAATGGACACAATATTCAAGCTTGATACAGGTCTGAATTTGGATTGAAATTAAATATTTGACATATTATAGGTTTCTGAATAAATGTAGTCAAAGAACTTGAAATTGGTTATATGAATTGAATTTATATTCAATTAATATAAAGTTTTCTTGCTGTTGTGCAATACACTGTGCTGTTGCGCAATACTTAGTAAATCTGTTGTCAGACTATAAACAAATAAAGTTCAATTAATTCTCAATGTCATATTAGAAATAATGAAAATCAAAAGGGAGCTTACATCAATAGATATAAACAATTCACCAAAGTTTCATGAGAATTGCTGACAGCATTTTTGAGTTATTGTCCGAAACTGGAAAATCCCCGATTTTTTAATGAATAAAACCCCATAACTCAGAAATGTAAAATGTAAAATTTATAAAATTCTAAAGGGAGCTTACATCAATAGATATAAACAATTCACCAAAGTTTCATAAGAACTGCTGAAAGCATTTTTGAGTTTTGTCCGAAAAACTGGAAAACCCCCCTTTTTTATGAATAAAACCCTGTAACTCAGAAACGTAAAATCTAAAATTTATAAAAATCAAAAGGGAGCTCATGTCAATAGATATAAACAATTCACCACAATTTCTTGCAAGTTGGTGAAAGCATTCTTGAGTTATTTTCCGAAAACTGGAAAATCCCCCTTTTTTTAATGAATAAAACCCCATAACTCGGAAACGTTAAATCTAAAATTTATAGAAAAACGAAAGGGAGCTCACGTCAATAGAATTAAACAATTCACCAAAGTTTTATGCAAATTGGTTAAAGCGGTTTTAAGTTAATGTCCAACATGTTGATGACGGACGGACAGACGGACAACGGTATACCATAATACGTCCCGTAAACGGGCGTATAAAAATAAATAAGAACAACACTCCCTTTGCATTTTGGTATTTCAAATACAACCACCCCCACATAAAATTTAAAAAAAAGAGCCTTCCCTGGGGGGACATAGTATTTTCTGGAACAACCAGTAGTTATTCTACAAATAATGATGAATCCAAATTAAAAAAGGAAGTTTGGTTTCTCAAAATTGTTATTTATCAATTAATTTTAGATATTCATAGGATTTTACCTTAATACATTTAGAATTTACAGCAATCAGGGGCGTAGCTACCTTCTTAATGAAGTGGAATCACAAACTAAAGGGCGAGGGGTCTGGGGGCCGCCTAAGGCCCCCAGTAGGTCCAGGGCAAAGGTCCAGGGGCGAAGCCCCCCGGAAGATCCGCATTTATAGCGTTTCAAAACAATCACAACCGTAATAAAAATTGTACATTTTTGTTGTGGTTTTTTGGTCAACTATTTGTTTAACTTCGAGTCGAATGAAGACTAAACATTGTCGTTTGCGTTTTTTGTACGCCGTGAGAGCTTTTAAAATCATGGAGATTTGTCCCATATGCTAGTATTGGTATTGAGCAAAGTAGAAAAAAAGAAAGAAAAAACAATAAACAAAACACAATACTATATGTAGAGTTTCTGTTAGAATAAACATCTTTGGATACCAAATACTTGGTGGACACATTCTACAATATTTTGCTGAACATATGGATTTAGATGTTTAAAAATTCAGTGGGTAAACTCTACATGCAAGAGAGAGATAGGAATGTCTAATTTTACGCAGTTAGGAATTCACGAAGTTGAAATTAATGAACTTTTTCAGAGGGAATGGTACTTTGATCACGATCTTTTCATGATCTGCGTTTGTTAATTATCCAGCTAATTAACAAATACATGTGCATTCGACAAGTTGTATGGCAATATCTAGATGATAACAGTGAAGATACGTGTATTAAAAGTTTGGTGTTTCTTTTGAACACGAATTAGCAGTTTAGTGTCCGACTCGGACAGAAAATTCATTATAAAATTGAATGACCAAATAATCCAGTAAAACGAGTTAGAATAAACAATTTATTTAAATGCTTTTACAATCAACTATTCGTATAGCCGGCCCATATAGAAACGGCTTCGAATTATCGAATCTATATACAAGATGTTTTTTTGTAAAATAAACAAAAACATAATACATGTACTGGAAAATGTGTACTTTCTTTATAATAACAGCAGTTCCAACTTCTCATCTATTAGTGTACGGAAACTATTGATAGATCGAATGGTTATTAATGTCCAGTAGCAAATATTACATGCACACCAGGACGGGAATACGTTTGCGTGTTGTGAAAATTAAGCATTCGTGTTGTCAAGACCATACTTGGTCAATTTTGAACTAGTTCACAAGGTAACAGTCATTATTCCCGGATCGATACGAGTTGAAGTCTTCGTTGTAGTAAGATGTGTGTTTTGGGGCGAAGCGGAAAATAATAATTTTCAAGTTTTTTTGTTAACCCTAAAGGGATTAGGTTGTTTTTTTGCACTCAAGTCGAGTATCCGTTATGGTGGTGGTACCGACAACTATGTAGCTGTTTTTTTCCCCTAAACAATGTCCGTAATATAAAAAGTTCCACCATGTTTACTCCAGTTGTATGTATTTATCATACACATACATGTCTTACAGGATTAAAAGTTTTGCTGCATGTGTATTCCTCTTGCTCTTATTCTTTGTGTAGTTTTTAAAATGCATACATAGAAAGACTAATTCCTATAAGTTTACTTTCTCTCTCTCTATCTCTCTGTTTTTTTGTTGTTGGTGAAAACAACGTGGTTGCACGTGCTGTCATGCATCCGGGTAGCTACGCCCCTGGCAATACAGCAAGACCTTATATCATATGCCAATGAACGCAATCTATAAAATCATCAAATTATAATTTGATAAATAAAATTAATAAAAGAAGAATGTGTCTATGAGCCACAAATGATGTTATTAAAGGAGATAATTAAAGAACAGTAAAACAGATGCTCTTCAAATTCAAACTCTGCGTTTTATGATAATAAGCATTGTGTATAAATTTCATAACATGTCGTTCAGGCAAACTAAAGTTAGAGAACAGAAACCAATTTTGAGTTCAATGTATGAACGTACAGAACAAGAGTAAAACTATATCACTCAGTGAAGGAGGGCATAAAAAGAGCTGATCAACTGATGTTTACCTTTTTATATCTTGGTCCATCTTTTTGAGCTGGTGCATGCTTAAGTGTTACTGCAATGCATTCCTCAACCTCAGACACATTGGATCTTTGAATTTTTATACAAGACTCTGGAAAAAAAATTAAAAATACATTCAATTATCTTCTATATTCCTCCGTCTGTTTACATGAGTGTCAGTCCAACAAATCTTTGGGAGAACTAGGTAAGTGACAAATTTACATGCATTCCAAAATTCATAAGTTTTATGATTGATTACGACATTGTTTCTGATCACATATTTAGTGAGAGTTGAACACAGCTCGTCATTGATAAACATTTAGATTTCATACCATAAATTGAACAGCAAAAAAGACGTCCCTATATACTGGTTTTTCTAACACCAGTAAACTTGGTTTTACCCTCAAAACAGGAAGATTTTACCCAACTTTTCCCTACTGGATCCTAACGTCCAGTGGCAAATATTTCATGCATGTTCAGGACGACCACCAGTGATACATGTAGTATTATCATTAATAGGCCGAGTTTGTAACATGCCAAGTTTGTAATGGGCCGAGTTTGTAATGGGCCGAGTTTGTAATGTGCCGAGATGTCTAGCTTCGCATTTGTGATATTGATTAGACTTTTATGCTTCCAACATTATCAAAAAATAACAGTGCAAAAGACACTTGCAGCCTTAATATATAGGGATAGTAGCTCTTGGCATGGATAGAAAACAAGTGTCTGTGGCTGTGCTGTGCACCCCCTTTTTTTTTACTTTCTACAGTTAATTTCATATATCTTAAAAAAACAACACAAGTTAATCGAGCAATTTGAAAAATGGATTCAAATAACACAAATGTTGGCTAAAATATCTTGTATCAGTGCAATATATTGACAGTATAATAAGAAGTATCATATTTCAACACGGTCACGGACAACAGACTTGAAAGAGGCGCCCAACACGGCAACAGATGTTTTATTGTTTTCAATCATACTTGTTTTTATCATGGAGAAACTTTTTGGCGTATGTGCATTTATTATATTACCTTTTTCTTTGTTCTGGATCGAGCTAAATTTCACTGCAAGTTTGTTTATCACTGTTTTTAAAAATCAAGCGGTGAAAGTGCGCATGCTCAGACTTTTCATAGTATGCAGCGGTAAAACCCGAGTACTGCTGAACGTTCCACTATTTATAACCAATCGTAAAAAAACGATAAATGATGACAAAACTTTAATGATATATTAAACAATAAATATTCATACAAAATATATATATTAGAACAATAAAATTGGATTTGTAATATTTTCTTGGACATTTTGGTGCAAATTATGTCTGTGCGGGAAAAAAGGGGGATATTTTGAAAATCGAAAAAATCGTGAATATATTCTAGTGAAGGTGAATGTTATATCCAGGAAGACTCATACCCACAAAATTCGTCCCATAAAACCAGATTTAAATGTGTCACTGGTATTCACAGGGTTTGTTCACTACGTTATTATAATGTTGATACGACGTAACAAAATGTTACGTCGGATTATGACAGTTATAAGCACGTTGTCACAACGTAATAAAATGTTACGTCCTGACAGGGTACTAAATTTACGTAAATTCGACGTAATTTTATAACGTCGTCTGTACGTCTGCATCCAACGTTGGGTTTTTACGTTCCCACAACGTTGGTACGACGTAAACTCAAGACATGACGTTCAGACGACCATTAACCGACGTTGGGAGTACGTCGTGTGTTTGCTGGGTAGATATTGAGCCCCCATTTAAATATAAACTAGTATATACGTCAGTATATACCTGAAACTTTGTGGGACAGTACCTAACCATATTCAGGTAATATACATATAGCTCCGCTGTAATACCTAATATATATACCAAATGTGTACATTTCCCCTTAAACAATCGCGAAAATTTTCGTAGACACGTTCATATAACACAGAAATATGCTATATTTATGCAATTTATATTATTTACTCTCTTATTTTAAATATATATATTTCAAATTGTTACTAATTATAATTCCGTAACTTTTTATCTGTATAAACCAATGATCGAGAAGTGCATACATTGTTGTGAAATAAATATATACTAGTCAACAAAAGAAACGATACAAGGCAATTTTTTTTTCTATATATAATGAAATTGGAAACACTGTACCGTATGGAACGCCATAGCTGTCTCCCGTTGTTCATAGTTAGTATATGCTGTGATCATTTAATTATTTTCAGCGGTTTTTTCTCGATTATGAGTGCCCTTTTCATTATGTTCAGTAGTATAACAATTATGTTGAGCAGTAACATCATAATGATCAGTAGAATAATCATTATATTGTGCAGATCTGGTATTATATTCAGCACTTTAATCAATATACTAAGCAGTTTTGGCTTTATGTTCAGTAGGTAAATTATTCTATTGAGTAGATTTGTCTTTATATTCAGTACTTTTGAAAATATCTTCTGTCAACATAATTTTATATTATGTAGATTTCTCATTATGTTGACTACAGAAACCGAAATATTCAGTGGTCAAACACACTTTATAATCAGTACTGTTATCATTATGTTGAGTGAAATAAATATTATGTTCTGTAGACTGATTATTATGTTCTGTAAAATAAATATTATGTTCAGTACAAACAACTTTATGATCAGTGGTCAAAATGTTTTATGTTCGGTTCAATAAATATTATACTAAGTGGTTAATCGATTATATTCAGTGCTTTTTTCATCATGTGGTGGTGGAACTATACATTAAAATTATCCAAGACTTCGGGTAAGTAAAACCGAAATATTCCGAGTTGAAACGAAGTCGGGCAATTTTGTTGGCATATTTTTCCAAAGGGTTGTTGATGTTTTGGTTTTTAAAATGGATGAAATTCTCCAAAGAGCTGGTTTGAATAATTTGAAGCAGAATTTTGAAAGAGAAAATATAACTCCGGACATTATTTCTAAACTGTCTCAGAAAGATTTCCTTGAACTAGGTCTTAGTAGCCGTGCTAAGATAATGGAGTTGAGAATCATGTGCTGCCATTACAGTGACATTGTATTGGAACATAATGACAAATTTATCATTCCGAAGGAGACACTGGAATCTTTGTTAGAGATAAACTTTAAGATCAAAGACATAAGTGGAATGTTCAATTTATCGGAAAGCACGCTCTACCGACACATGAGAGCTTACAATTTGAGCAAACAGAACTTTTCCTTCGTTTCCGATCATGACTTAGATACGACAGTACTGAGTATAACCAAAGAATTCCCCAATTGTGGAGAGGTTCCCTTGATGCAACTTTTGTCGCAACGGAATTTAAAGGTAATTGAATAGCTATTTTGATATTGTTATGCAAACTATACATTAAAATTATCCAAGTGATTATTAAAATAATACATAGTTTAAGGTAGATCGAGTCATTACACTCCCAAGACATTGCAAAAAAAAACTAAAATGAATGGAAAACCCCTTCTGCGGAACCAGGGACTATATAGAAGTCCCTGGCAGAACCAATAAAACACAGTACAGAGACAAAATGGCGACCACCTAAAATAAGCTCATCCATAGCAATAAATAAATAATAATGAAAGCAGATTTGGAGACTTTTTATGTGTAAAGCATGACCTCTCGCTGACAGACTGAAAAAGGTCTAAAGTATTAAAGTGGCTGTGATGATTATAGCTAAGGCCAAAAAAAAAGTATGTGCATTTACTGTACCCCTACCTTCTCTAATTGTTATCCCCTACCATAAAGTTTTTTTTTACTATTTTTGATTAAGCACCGTTAAAGTCACAATGTTGCTCCCATAGACTCAATGTAAAAAAATAAATAAAAATTTGAAATAAACCTTTACCTACCTACCCTATTTTTTTCAGCATGTGACAGTAAACACACATACTTTTTTGTTTGGCTTTAAGTGATTTGCATATAATAATATTTGAAGTCCACACACGAGTCCGCACGGGACCAGGGACTATATGTTGTGTATTATGAAGCAAATGATGGTATATGAGTATTAATTGTTTAACAATTAACCGGAATGTAAATTGTTAATTAACAGGGGCGGATCCAGGATTTTGGAAAGGGGGGGGGGGGGGGGGGGGGGGGGGGGGGCGAAATTTAAAATTTTTTTGGACCTTTTTAGAGATAAAAAGTATTTTAAAAACATAAAATAAGTGTAATATGCACTTTTTAAAAACGGTTTTTGGCATTGGGCATTTATATTTTGTAGTTGCTGTAAAGTGTAAGGCTTGGACATTTTCGATGCTGTATTCTCTCTATTGATGTCTATCATAAAATGATAGTATGGATCCATAGCTGTGAATTGATAAATGTGATGTGGGACTTGTCAGTAAAAAATAGTCATGGAAAATTCTCGCCGTTTTGTTGTAGGTTAAGTTATCATAACCTGACAGTTTCCTTGTTGTAAACAAAAGACAAACATGCAATTTTAAGTCAAATATTTGGTTGATTTGTTTCACCATACAGAATTAAGAGAAGTTAGGGGTTCCAAATCAACCAAAGTCTACGAATGAGTCTGAAATGACAACGAATTTATGAATGACGGTCGACAAATAGAGACATGAAGGCCACACCCAGCAGACAGGTTGCAGTCTGGTCTTGAAAAAAGTATTTAATATGTCAGTTCGGCGAAACAGACATTCCGTTCGGACATGCAAACCCCTGCCCCAAAAAAATATTCCCGTTTTTATTCATCATGTTTATTTAATGCTAAATAATACTGTCAGAAATTTTCGTGTCTAGTAGCAAAAACAATGGACAAGAAGATTATTGTTTTCAATCCGGATACACCCAGAATTTTTGTTTAAGGCATAAATCAGAGTCAACCTTAGACTTTACATATATCTAGAGCTTATACTGACTGGGGATCATTATTCATCTATGTTATTTTAAAAAGGCTGGGGTATTTGGGGTTAAACATGTTTTCGTAGATAAATAATATTGCTGTGGAACTTTTTTTCATGAGAGTATAATAGTCTATAGAGTATTACTTTCTGTTTGGTGGAATTGTGAAATAGAAGTCAATATGTTCTTGCTCAATCTTTTGTCGCTTTGAAGGTGTCATGATTGTCATCCTTAGCCTAAGCAATGTGTTACTGTAATTTGAATTTCAAAATGACTGAGAGACGGTTTTTTGACGTACTTGTCAACTCCACCATAGCGGATCACATGACTTTGACGATCAGTAAATTCCAGCGAAAATATCTTTATAAGTAAAGGATGATCGCATAAAAATTAGACCCTAAAGTACAAGGGAAATGGCAAAGTTCACGAAGTCTAGTCAG